CACACACACACACACACACACACACACACACACACACACACACACACACACACACACATCCATACACAACCGCTCTTCTTCCGCCCCCGGTTTCAATACCTCCTTCTCGCAACACCTTCACAAACCTTGCGCCTCACGTGCGCCAGGCGGACGGCACTCTGGACCAGATTGTGTCTGACGAGGCGGTGCTGGCGCGCATGCTGGAGCCAATAGCCGGCGGCGCCAATGCTGACAAGGACGACAACGTCCGGGAGGCCCTGGCAGAGGCTGTCGCCGTGCTGGTGGGCTGCGGGTGGATCGAGATCGATAGACAGGATGAGGATGTTACCACGACCCGCGGTTGCCCGCCCTTGCCATCTGTCCAGGCTCATGGGATTGGATTGTACGGCATGCTTGCGCCTGGGTGGGCTCAGGGTTCCTCTGTTCTGTTCCAGCTTTTCTTGCCTTGTGCGTCTGCCTCTCGGTGAGGTGCTGTTAATCACGCGCTGCTGCATGACTACCACGTCGCGGAGCGACCTCAACCCCACCCTTCCCGCCTGCGCGCGCAGCCCGCACCCTCCCATGCAGCTTGGTTTTCAACACACTCCCTCGCCCCGCCGCCACCCCTGCCGATCCACCAAAGGCTGCTGAGCCGAGCGGTCGCGGGCGCGACGCGCTGCTGGCGGTGGACGCTGACACAAAGCTGCACAAGGGGTACGAGTACGAAGACCACCCCGGCGTGTGCGCGGCGATGGAGGCGGCGGGGCGGTGCTTCATCAAGTTCGGGGACGACGAGGACGCGGAGCAGAGGCAGACGGGCGGCGGCAGGAGCTGTCTGCAGTGATTACGGAGGAAGCGGCATCCTGAGGAGCTTTAGTTGATCACATGTGTAAGCGCTTCGTCAGCCGTGCAAGCTAAGATGAGACTCGGATTGCTTGGTGCATTCTGGGCCCCCGCTGGACTTGGCACCACCTGGCTGCAACAAACAGCAGGGAGTAGGCGCAATCAACGTGAAACATGTTCGTTACCATAAGATAAACATAATACGAATATATGCTCAAAGAAGCTCTGTAATGCTGCTGCTACAAACAAAGATGCACACATCTGCCGGCGCCCTCCTCCGTTCAAGACTCCAGCCGCAGCCTGCAACCGCAGCAGCTGGCGCCAGCACTGGGGCAGCCGCCGCGTGGCCGGGACGCAGCCCGAAAGGGCTGGCAACACTGGACTGTCGAGCACAGCACAGACTTTGCCGGCGCCTAACCAACGAAGAAGAACTGCCCGATCGACGGCCGCGGCTTTGTGGTGTACATGCCCAACAAGATTACGGCGGGGATGAATCCCCAGTGCACGACCGGCTCGACGTACTGCACAGGTTTGGATTGATGGCAAGGACGGTTTGAGGGCCAAGCCAGGTGGGGCAGTTGTTCGGATGCTCGAGCCGGCTGGTGAGGGCGTGCGTGGAGGTTGACACGCAAGCGCGCTTGTGCTGGAGGCATGCCAGTATGGGTGCGGCGAGGACAACCAGAGGAGCGCGTGCGGGCTCAGCAGCAGCGCTTGCACACAGCAGAGCAGTCAGGGGCGCTGCGGTGCGCGCTGATCGAAGGCCGCCGCCGCGCACCTTGACGTAGGGCGCCGCTGCTTCCTGCACCCGCGACACAGCATCACTGAGCTTGTCTACGAGCGCCATGCTCGCAACGTGTCACCGGCTGCTGGTGATCAGTGATCTTGTTTAGAGCGGTGTAACGGACCTAAATATAATTCAAAATCGCAGCTGATACCTCCATCACGACGCGCCTTTGGGTTCCCTGCTTGCACAGATAGGCGAGTGGATCCCCAGCAGCCACCGTCTGTCAGAGCCGCACGGACGGTGAACACTAATATCCAAGAAAAACTGTTTAGGTAGCAGTGGCCATAGGCAGCGCATGCGTTGAAGGATGGCGCCCACCGCGGTCAGCTGGCTCAAGGCGTCGGACGCCGCCGCGCTTGCCGACTGCGTCAAGCACACCCAGCAGGCGGGCCTGAAAGGTCCAGGCGGGCAGGAGTGGAAGGCTTTCGTGCAGGTACGTCACGGTCATCATGTTCAGCTGCATGCACCGAAGAACTGCATGCGAGCAGTGGCCGCCATTGCAATCGCGACAGCGCCCACGCTGCTTCGTCACCTTCATGGTCATGCTGAGGCGAAGCAGCTGTGGGTCAACGGGGCAGCCGTTGGTCGCCCACTGATTCGTACAACGCTCCGCAGGCCCTGCCGGCGGCGCAGCGTCACCAGGACCCGTCTCGCCACGAGAAGAAGCAGCTGCTGGCCTTCCTATCGGGCGTGGCCGCCGAGCCTGAGCAGGCCCGGCAGCTTAAGAGATACGTCAAGTGGCGCGCAGCGGTGCAGGAGGTGTGCTCTGGCACATGAGTGTTCCGGATGCTGGGGTGGGCGCACAAGCCCGCGTTGACCAGTTTGACCGACAGTCTGGCTCCTGCGGCCCCGCCTGAGCACGAGCGGGCGCGCCTTCAATTGCGGGGAACGCACTCACACTAACACTGATCAGGAGGCAGCGGCCGCGCGCGCGGGTACCGGCGGAGCCGCGGAGCAGCAGGGCGAGCCCGCCGCCGCAGCATTGAGCGGCGACGGGCGCGCGAGCAGCGCCGCGTGGCGGCTGGTGGCGCGCACGCGGGCGCACCCCAAGTTCCAGCGCTGCTACAGCTTTCCTTCATGGGAGAAGGGTTGGATAAGGACCAGCAGGTAAGAAGCCAAGCAATCAATTGTGAAATGGATGTGATGACGTGAGGTGACACTTGATGGCAGCCTGCCAGGCTCTTGCTGATGCTTTGGTGTGATCTGCCTTGAATTATTCAAAAGGTTTGGTGGAGAGCACGTGCCGCTGCAGCCCGCTCACCGACGCCGTCTCCTCAACCTCCCGTGGCCACCCAGGCTGCGGCCCGATGGGGCCGAGGCGGCAGCTGCCCCGCTGCTGCTGGGGCTGGATTGTGAAATGTGCGCCACCAGCAAAAGCAGCAACGCGCTTCTGTCCCTGGCGGTGGTGGACCAGTCTGGCGCGGTCCTGTTGAGGGTGCGCGCGTGGCTGCACACGGCTCGGAACTCACCATGTTCTAATTTCTGGCTTGATCACTGGGTCGTGAAGGTATCTGAAAGGGTCGTTGGCAGACATTGATGGATAAGATGCTGGAAGTATCACTGCCCCCGATGCCGAAGCATGATTTGTGATAGCAGCATGATTCCGGGTCATGAAATGCCATCAACCCCCGCCACAAACCCCTTGACCCCTCCCCAGGAGCTGGTCAAACCCGAGGGCAAGGTTGTTGACCTGCGCACCGCCATCACGGGCATCACAAAGGACGACCTGACGGGGGTCACCGCGCGACGCAGCGACGCCGCGGCGCGGCTGGCGGCGATGCTGGGGCCGGACACCATCCTGGTGGGGCACTCGCTCAGCGCTGACCTGGCGGCTCTCAAGGTGAGGACGTTGGGCAGGGCGTCACCCGCGCTCCCCCTGGCACTGCTGCAGGGCATGGGCTGGCTTGGGGGGATCTCAATGTGTGGATGTCCCGTGAACCCTGTTATTGCCTTGGAGTGCCGTCATTCGTGCTGTCGGATGGTGGCACTGCATAAGCCGGCGCAACGGCCAGGCGGTGCCCTCTCCCGCCGCCGTCCCGCCGCGCATGGCACTCGCCGGACGCCTCCTGGCAGCCATTTGCCAGCACTGTCTGTGTGATAGTCAAATGGAGCCCAGTGTCGCACTTCCCCCATGCCCCCGCCCATACGATCCTGTTGCAGCTTGACCACCAGCCGGTCATCGACACTGCCCTTCTCTACTCCTATAAGTGAGCGTGATCGCCTTGCTCTCCACCCTGATCCAAGGGTTGGGATCAGAATCAGGGTTGGATTGTTGCAGTGTCCCATTTCTGGAGCCATGCAGGCTCCAGAGCAGGCTGCAACCACCAGCAAGAGAAACGCGGGGCGCTTGTTTGCGGCAGCCTGGCCTTGTGTTGGTACGAGTTGCCTTTTGAGACGGCCAGCCGGTGCGATTGCTGCTGCTGGTGGTGCCGGTGAATTTGGTCTCAAACCAGCCGGGGTCATCAGCATCTGCTCTTGACTTTGCCCCAGGTACCACCTGCTAATTATTCCCGCCCTCCCTGCCTTGTCACTGGGCCGTTCACGCCCGCCTCCCCCGCCGTCATCGCCACAGGGGCCTGTCTCAGGCGACGCCTTCGCTAGTCCACCTGGCGCAGCAGCTGCTCGGCCGGAAGCTGCGTGCCGGCAACAGCGGCGACGGCGACGACGGCGGCGACGGCGATGGCCGGCAAGACGGCGGCGGCAGGAGCAGCGGCGGGGCCGCATCGCGCAAGCGGCAGCATGCGGAAGGCGGAGGGACGCCGGCGGATGCGGCGGCGGCGGTAGCTGCTGCGGGTGAGGGCGTGCACGACAGCAGGGAGGATGCGGCGGCGGCGATGGCGCTGGTGGCTCACGAGATGGCCAAAGAAGCGGCGGGGGAGGCCACGGCGCCGCTGGATCCTCCGGCTGTCAAGGTGCGGCATGCTCCTTCGGCGCCACAGCCAGGGGGTTTCGGATGGGATTGCACGACTTCAGACTCCAGCCGGTGATTTCAGCAGCCTGCTGGGTCTTGGGTCTTGTAAGACTTGGCTGTCATCTGCACTGCCGCTCAATCAGACCAACCATCTGATCAGACCCGAATATTATAATGTTTGACCTTCCGTCGTCGTCACCCGCAGGCCCCAAAGAGTGACCTGGTGAAGCTGCTTGTCCACTCGATTCCAGCCTCCCTAGCTTCCCCCCAGCTTCCCATCATCCACGCCCTCGGCAAGGCCGGCGCGCCGCCGCCCGCGGCGGTCGAGGCGGGGTCGGGGCCGGGGCAGCTGCTGCTGGTGTTTTCGAACGCGGCGGTGGCGGAAGCGGCGTTCAGCGCGCTGCCGGGGCCGCGGGGGGCGGACAGCGTGGGGCGGCCGCAGAAGGAGCTGCAGCTGGCTGGGGGCTTCAGGGTGAGGGGGCGGGGCGTTCGCTTCTGCATGCGGGCGACCCTGCAAGTGACGCTGCGGGCGGCTGGTGGAACTCTTGGACTGCTGCGACTGTGCTCTTGATCGGAAGGTCTGAGCGCCAACTCAGTCGGGCCATCAACTGGAATGTTCACGCTGCAGTCACAGCCACTTGTGCGAGCCACTTGTGCGAGCATTGCAATAGAACCGGACAAACGGCCTTGCTGCCCGCTTGCTGCCATTTTCCACCCCCTCCCCTTCCCCAAAAGCACACAAACACACACACACACACACACACACACACACACACACTCACACACACACACTCACACACACCAGGTCCGTGTGCGCAAGATGGCGTGCCACGCGGGGGCGGCCTTTGGCAAGGACGCCCCGAAGGACAGAGGGCAGCCGAAGACGCGAAAGCGCAAGCTTAAAAAGAGGGCTGGCGGCGGGGCTGCCGCGGAGCCTGCGGCTGCGGCAGGGGGCGGCGGCGCAGAGGGCAGGTCGAAGCGGCGGCGGAAGGGCGAGGGCGAGGGCGAGGGTATGGCAGCGGCGTCGGCGGCGGCGGCGGATGGGGAGGTGACGCCGGGCGCCGAGACCGGAAAGAAGCGGCGGCGGAAGAAGGGCGGGAGCGATGCTGGCGGCGGCGGCGGCGGCACGGTGCAGGAGGTGCAGGGCACAGCCCAGGCAGGAGAGATTCCTGGCGGACCCCTGACTCATGCCGAGTAGCGGCGGCGGCGGGCGCGGCAGCACAAAGAGGGGCTCGAGAAAAAGGCCAAAGCGCGCGTGTAAAGGCTCCCTGACGTGCAGCGCTGCTGGGGACTGCTGGGTGGTCGTCTGCTGCTATGCATGGACAGATGGTACGGCGGGACGCTGCCATGATGTGGCATGAGTCGGTTGCAGTGCGGGAACCACCATCGCCAGTGGAGTGTGCGCATGCATGGTCGTCAGCAGTGAAGAGATCGATTGCACTCAGATGTCAAAGTTTCGAAACGACGTGCTGTACTGTTTGGACTCGCGGGGTGCTCCTCGGATCTCTTTCTGTGGTGACGTCAAATCACAGCTTCTTCGACGCGCAGACTGTGTTTATTACTAGAATCAAAACACGATGCGCCCAAGTTGAGGCCGGGCTGCGTCAGGCGCCACTCACAAATTAGCCGCTTCCTCGCATCTTTTACTCAGGGCGCCTTCAGCACCTGTGCCTAGACATCATTGATATTAGACTTTGCGGCGCCCATAACGCCGCCGGCTGGGCCAGCAGGGCCTGATGCGTCAGCCGGCGAGCGCTATCTCCGCAAGCAGTGCGCTGCTGCGCTGCGCAGCGCCGCCATGCTGCGCGGCCAGCATGGCAGCGGTCGCCGCTGGCAACGGGCTGCCGTTTGCCATGGGCGTGTCAACGCAATTGGGGCATGCGTACGGACGCATGCTGCTGCGGCGGCTTGGGAACCTGCGACCCCGGTTCCCGTCGGGGCGCAGCCCAGGCACGAGCAGCAGCAGCAGCAGCAGCAGCAGCAGCAGCAGCAGCAGCAGTAGCAGCAGTAGCACACGCATCAGTGGCAGCAGCGGGGGGTCTCGCAGCGCTACCTTATCACACAGAGGGCTGGCGCGGCAATTCCTGCAGCGGCAGGAGCAGCAACAGCAGCAGCAGCAGCCGCTGACGTGGCAGCGGATAGCGCGGCAGCTGGTGTCCCGCGCGTCTCCCGTATCTCCCGCCGCCGGCCTCGCGCCGCGCGCCGGCGCAGCTGCTATGCCTCTCGGGCGCGGCGCTGAGCCGCTCTTGCGCCCCCTGCAGCCGCTGCTGCCGTTCGCGGCGCGCCCGTTCCTGCGGCCACGTGTGCCGCGGCGCCCCCGTTGCGGCGCCGTCCCCACGGCCGGCGCGGCGCGCGGCTACTCGGCAGCTGCCGCGGCGTGGTACCCACACCCGCCCGCAAACCTGGCGCGCGCAGCGGAGGCGGCTGCGGCGGGGTGGGGCGGCCTCGTCTCGTGGGCGTCGGAGGGCATGTGGGCGGCGCAGTCTGCGATTTTGAACGCCCTGAACCTGGCGGGAAGCCACCTGCCAAAGGGGATCGCGCTGCTGATCGCGGACTGGATCAACAACAGTCCGCTCGTGCGCGGCGCGCGCGGGGACGCGTCCGCGGACTGGTCCTATTCTATAGAGCGGCCGCCGCCGACGGCTGCAGGCGCCTGCGGCGGCGCCGCGCGGCACGACGCCGCGTGGCGGCGCGCGCTGTCCGCGGCGCTGGCGGCTGCGGGCGCGGCGTGGGCGGCGGCGGCGTTTGCGGCGCGGATACTGTGGCTGTCAGTTATCATTGCGCCGGTGGTGCTGTCGGCGCCGCTGGCCCTGAAGTGGGGGTGGCGGCGCGCAGAGTGGATGGAGCTGCTGCGGATGACGCTCGAGGCAGCGGGGGTGCGCAAATCTGACCTGATTTTCCTCTATGTGGTCTGGCTAGATGTGATGAGGTCCTCGGCGGCGGAGTGTTTGTTTGTTTTGTGCCCCGCAGCAGGCAGAGGTTGCCGCGCCGGTAGCCACAGTGTTGAGGCGCATGCTCTGCTCGCCGCATGCTGCGCGTGTGCAACACCCCCCCCTACGCTCCGCGCCCGCGCGCGCCCAAACACACCCTGCAGACCCCTGCTCACCCGCCCATCCCACCAAACCCCCGCCCGCCTGCGCGCCCCTGTGCAGCCCGCGTGGGTCAAGTGGGGCCAGTGGAGCGCGACGCGCCACGACATCTTCCCGCCAGACATGTGCGCCGCGCTCGAGGTCCTGCACGCCTCCGCGCCGGCGCACCCCTTCCGTGACACCGACGCGGCGATCCGCCGCGCGTTTGGGCTGCCAGCGGCGGAGATATTCGAATGGCTGGAGGAGGCGCCGCTCGCGAGCGGCAGCATCGGGCAGGTGCGTCGGGGGTGCGTCGAGCGCGCAGGGGTCGCCCTTGCCTGCAGGCTGGCGGCTGCATTCGCTGGTTGCTTGGGGGATCGTTGGCGCCCAGACGCTCGCTGTGGCTGGCTTGTACGGCGAGCTGCAGCTCTGCTGCTTGAGTCAGCGATTGGGGTTGCGCCGGGGCGCGGCGCGCACCTGAGACG